CCTGAAATTTTTAGTGTTTTATGCTTTTCAAATTAGTTTTGATTACTCAGGAAAAAATTATTGCCACCTTCCTTTGCGTGGTGTCCTGTGGGTTAGGAAGGAAACAGAGTCCTAGGGAGTTTGTACCGCATAGAACCCAGTCTCACTCTCTTGGTTACAGAGACAAAACTGGGGTTTGGAGAGAAAAGTGATTAGCCAGAGTCCTGCGTTTAGACCTAGGGAAAGGTAGGAAGACAGCCTGTGTTTCAGAGGGCTCCTTGTGACTGTTCTCTGGCCCACACCTCCTGGAGACCAGGCAGAGGAGTACGCAGGGCAGAGGGGAAATGCTCACTTGGAACGTGTCCCCATCGCCTTGTGTCTAAGCTAAACCACGAGTCCCTGGAGTCCTGCACTTCCTCCCAAATGGCCCAAAGCCTGGCTCCAGGGCCTGCAGGGTCCTGAAGGGTCCATCCTTCTGACAGTGGCCCTTGCTGTTGATGCAGGAGCTACTAGGCCTAAAGGGGGAGCTGTTTGCAGCAGGAAGGTATCTGCTTGGATGTGTGACCTAGGTGTTCACCTACCCATCTTTTTTTTTTTTTTTTAAAGATTTTATTTATTTATTTGAGAGAGAGAGAATGAGAGAGAGCACATGAGAGGGGGGAGAGTCAGAGGGAGAAGCAGACTCCCTGCAGAGCAGGGAGCCCCACGCGGGACTCGATCCAGGGACTCCAGGATCATGAACTGAGCCGAAGGCAGTTGCTTAACCAACTGAGCCACCCAGGCGCCCTCACCTACCCATCTTGAGGCCCCTTGTGGTGCTTGGAGAGAAAAAGGGAGCTGGGCTTCAGAGTGAGGGCTAGGAACTGTCCCTCCCCCACACTCTTATATTCCAAAGGAGAAAAGTTCCAGATTCGTTCCTGAATTGTCAGCGTAGGAGGACAGATTACATTTTATTTTACAGTTTGTTAGCTTGATTTATAGTAAATATTTAGACCAGCAGTTCTCAAAGTTGTTGGCCTCAGGACCCCTTTACACTCTTAAAAATTAGTGAAGACCCCCAAAGAGCTTTTTTTTTTTAATGTGGATAATATCTATTTATCACTTTAGAAATTAAAACTGAACATTTTATTTAAATGCAATATTCAATATTAAAATATTTACTTATTTAAAATAACAATTAGAAACTCATCCCTGTTAATGTAAAATTTTTTAATGAAAAATGCCATATTTTCCAAAAAAAGGGAGCGGGTAGTATTATTTTACAGTTTTACAAATCTCTTGATTGCTTGATTTAAAAGAAGGCAGCTGGATTCTCCTGTTTCAGTATTCAGTGTCTTGATGAAAGTATCTGAAAACACTATGGCCTCACATAAATACATAGTTGGATAAAAGAAGGAATATTTTAATAACCTTTTCATATAATTGTTGATATTTTTCTTTGTTTTTACACCCAAACTTGGTTAAGTGGTAACTTCCCAAAGAGTTTGTGCAGTGTAAATCTGAAGCTATATCAAGGAAATTATAGTATTTTGTTACATTAAAATCCACCAATCTTTCTTGCATTTTGAATGGTTTTTTACCCATGGATGATTTTGCTCTTTTGGAAAATAATACTTCAATGGTTGTGTGGTTCTTCCGAAAATTGACATATGTCCTTATACAATATTTAAAAAATCTATGACTATCACCAGTCATCTCATCAAAAAAGTCATGACGTATTGGAAAGTTGTTAAACCCATGGAAGACACAAGTTTTTGAAAATTTTAATTTTCAGTGGAAAGCCCCAATTTTACCTTTGGTAACAAATACTGTCAGTTGTTTTCCATGAAGGGATGGACTCATTTCATTCATTTTTGAGAAAATGTCTATCAAATGCCTATGTCTGCATTGCCGTAGTTTGGGTGTCAGTCATTTCTTTAAGTAAAATAATGTCGATGTCAGAACTGAGGCTGTGAGAAAATGCTGGGCAAATCTTCCCACACCTCAGCGGGAATCCAAGTACCAAACTGGCCTCGTGGTCATTACATTCTTCACCCACAGAAAATAAAAAGCCAGTTTCTCACTCTCTCTCTCTCTTTTTAAAGATTTTATTTATTTGAGAGGGAGAGAGAGCACAAGCAGGGGGAGGGGCAGAGGGAGAAGCAGACTCCCCACTGATCAAAGAGCCCAACGCGGGGCTGGATCCCAGGACCCTGGGATCATGACCTGAGCTGAATGCAGATGCTTAACCAACTGAGCCACCCAGGCGCCCCCAAAGCCAGTTTCTCTTAAAAGTGTTCTTGATAAAAACAGTGGACTGTAAAATTATGAATTTTCTTGAATCTTAACCCTTCCATTGATGTCTTTTAAATACCCTATGAGTAATGGAAGGCCCTCTGCTGGGGTTGCCTCGAGGAACAGCACTTGTGTGAGATGGAAGATGAACCCCAACCTTTTTTCAGGAAACATGATTTTTACCTGAAAAAAATGACTGCCGTTTGGGTTTTTTTGCCTTAAGTCATGAAAATAAATGTTAGGGGTTGTATCGGTTCTGTTGCCAATGGTTATTTACCAAAAAAAAAAAAAAAGAAGAAGAACATACACAATATAATTAAGTATATGTATTCTTACCATATATTCTGTGTATTAGTATTTGGTTTGTATGTATATATACACATTGCAACACCCTGTGAGCATCTTTATCAGATGATGCTCAGATGTCTCAGTCTCAGTTTGGTCCAAAGTGAAGTCACTGTCTGGGAGACTGGGCTCCCAGAGAGTTCCTGGAAGGGGAATGGAGGGGCGTGAAGCGACGGGGGAGAGCCGTGCCCGTAATAATCACACTTCAGAGGAGGCCATACTCTTTCATCCTTCCCAGGCCCCTTAGGATATTGGAGTGGCAGACATTTTTAAATCAAATTTGGTAGTATTCAGAACAGAAAAAAGCCCAGTGCTCCAAGCAACCCCTTGTCCAGGCAAATGCCCCAACCGAGGTACAGAGCTCTCCCCAGACCAACCTGCTGCCCTGTGTTCCTCCCCATGATCCTCCCCTGCACCCGCACTTTGTGATCAGTGTCGATTCCCCTTGCCTCTACCTTCTCTCAAATCCCTCCTTCCTGCTAAAACCTTTGTTCAGACATACATCATCTCTCCTTCCTTGTTTCCTGGGTTTGCCTCTGACTCTTTTTACACAGAGCTGATCATGTCACTCCCCAGGTTCAAATTCCACAGCAGCCTTGCAGCACCTGCAGGAAAAAGCCCACGTTCCGCAGCTGGTGTATCTGATAACTGCTTGGGCCTAGAGAAGAACTTGCTGCTCTATCCCACCTTACCTCGTGGTCTTAACTGTGTGTTTGCTGTTTTCTGAATGCACAGGCAGTTCAACGCCCTCTGCCTTCCCGTAGGATGTTCCCTGTCTGAAATACTTTTCTACTCATGTGACACATATGAAAACATCTTTTTCAGAACTCGGTGCAAGAGTCACATCCTTGTAGGCTGTGAATATTGTGACATAATAAGAAATATTTATTTGGTCTTTGCCCCTGTTTCCTGACACGGAACTCCTAAATCCCTTGGAATTTCCTAAGTGATAGGAGCATCTTTAGTTCTAATGAGGGGACTTTTGCAGGTCCCTGGATAGCTTCAGGTCACCAGAAAGACCACGCCATGATTAGAAGCATAGAATTTTCAGCCCCACCCCCCAACCTCCAGGGAGGGGGTGAGGGGATGGAGATAGTTAATAACCAATAATGCCTGTGGGCTGAAACCTCCAAAAAAAATCCTCTAAATGATGGAGTTCAGGGAGTTCCTGGGTTGGTGAATGCATCCACAAACCAGAAGGGTGTTGCATCCCAGCTCCAGGGGCACAGAAGCTCCTGTGCTCAGGATGCTTGGACCTTGCTCTCTATGTCTCTTCATCTGGCTGTTCATTTGTATCCTCAGTAATAAATTGATAATAGTAAGTAAAGCACTTTCCTGAGTTCTGTGAGATGTTCTAGCAAACTATCGAACCTGAGGAGGGTATTGTGGGGACGCTGGCTCAGAGTCATTCAGTTAGAAGTGCAGGTGGCAAGCTGGGACTCGAGGCTGGCATCTGAAGTGGGGGCAGTTTTATGGGCCTGAGCCTTTAGCCTGTGGGGTCTGTGCTAACCCTGAGGAGTTAGTGTCAGAACTGCATTGAATTGTAGGACAGCCAGTTGCTGTCTGGAGAGTTGGAGAATTGGTGGGTGTAGGATATTTGGTTGTTTTTCTGTAATCCCAGTATTAGCACATGGTAAGTACTCTGCAAAATGTTTTTAAATAAATAGCGTCAAGTACTTTTCTGACTTTTGTGGCACTACAGGCTAAAGAGAAGAAGTCAGTATATCTGAAAGACATGGAGAAGAATATGGACGACAAACTTGAATGACTTCTTAATTTTGCCAGATTTCCCTATGTGTGTACCTTTCCCTTTACGTGGGCAATTGGAGATTCCACTGTGTAGCCTGGAGTTGTGTAAGTTATGAGGAGAATGGCCTTGAGCTTGTGGTATATGTCAACAATCCACATAAATGACGAATTTGCTATTACTTTGCTTTTTAAAGCTGAGTCACTTTGCTTAGAGAAGACTTGCCATTGAGGCACTGGGCTAGGGATGGGGTCAACTTCTGTGGATTGAAGAGAATCTGAGAGGGTCAATGGGGGGGCAGGTGTACACTGAGATGGACGGGGGGAATATGCCTGATGGTCCAAACTGTTTTTGTGAAGTAAGGTGTCAGCTTTCCCTTAACAAAGTGAAGAGGTGATTTAAGGAAGAATTAATCTTTAATTTTATGGAATAAATGAGGTGGGAGTGTATTTAGGCCAGTAATGAGAGAGAAACACAAATGTTGCTAACTACCACTTACCAGGTTAGAGCATTAATGAATCAGTTCTGCATGATGATCTTAAGTGTTAGGCACAGGGAAGTCTTATTATCACAGTTTTTAGAGAGGGAAATTGAGGCTTCGAAGAAGAAGTTGACTTGTTTAAGGTCACACAACCAATTCATGGCAGCTGTAAGAAGACAGCTCAAGTTTTTACTTCAGTCCCTTTAAGTGTGCCTTACTGTTTCCTCAGTCCCGGCGCTGTGTTCTCCCACATGCCAGAGCCTGGGAGGTGCGAAACCAACTTGTAGGATGTTCCTGAGGGAGATATTTGTGTGTAGATAATAGCCTTGGGAACCAAAACAGAAAACCAACAGAACAAGACAACAGGTAAAATCTAAAGGCACCCACCTCCTGACAATGTAGCTACATCGTCTCAGATGATAAGGACAATGAGTTCTGCACCTCAGTTCCCCCGTGGGCTCTTCTTCAGGAAAAAATGCTCCATGGTGCATTTTATGTGGCTAAAAAGCCAGGCAGAGAGTCCTGCAAAGACAGAGCCACAGTTTACCTTGGCAGGCTCAGCTTTGTAAGGTGTTGCCTCAGTCCAGCTGTCTCAGACATAATTTCTTTCAATTCTTCCAAAGAACTTTACATGGTAGATTGTATTCATCCCATTTCAGATAGTGACATGAGTATGGACATGGAGATAGAGTGTCCTCTGAGCTGAGGTCCCAGCATACAGTGTTAGTCACAGCTCAGAGGGGCTTGACCTCTGTAAGGAGGGACATAGGACCCAATGAGATGTTGTGGGTTGAATTGTGTCCTTAACCCAGAACCTGTAAATGTGGCCTTATTTGGAAATGGGGTCTTCATAGATGTAATCAAGTTAAAATGAGGCCATCCTGGATTAGGGTGGTCCCTAATCTAATGTGACTGGTGTCCTTATAAGAAGAGGGCAATTTGGACACAGACACACAGGGGGAATGTCATGGGATGATGGACACAGAATCTGGAGAGATGGGTCTAAAGGCCAAGGAGCACCAAAAATTGCCAGCAAACATCAGAAGCTAGAAGAGACAAGGAAGGATTCTCCCTAGAGGCTTCCAAGGGAGAGTATGGTCCAGCTGACACTTTGATTCAGACTCTCATGCCCAGAACTGTGAGAGAGTATATTTCTGTCATTGTAAGCCCCCGAGTTTGTATTTTGTTATGGTGGCCACGTGAAACTAATAAATCGGTATATTCTTAAGAGGTTTTGTTGGATGGGAAATGGCAGCTGGTCCTTAGGCTGGGATATCATGCTTCTACTAAGTGGAAATATGGAACCAGTAGAGCAAGCTCCCTGTCACCTAGAAGACAAAATTGAAGTTCCATGAGGTCCTTTAAGATCTGGCTCCTAGCTACCTGTCCAGCTTTATTTTGCCACTCCCTTATGCTCTAGGCACACTGACCAACCCATGTTCCCCAAAAAGCCACACTCTTTCAAACCCCAAGACAACTCACACTGTCCGCTCTTCTCAGAATGCCCACTTCTCCACTTGTCTCCCTGGTGAGGGCCTCCCTATGTTGTCGAAAACCGACCTGCATGCTTCGGAGCCAAAATATAACTGAGGGAGTTTGGGAGACAGAGGAACAATAGCTTTATTGCTTTATTAGGCAAAGGAAGCTGCAGTAGGCTATGGCTTACAAAAAACAGCAAGTCTGCCTGGAGGAAGGTGCTAGGGGTTTTCAAAGGGAAATACAGGATCTAGCTGGTTTTGACAGGAATCATCTACTTGCTTCCAACCTTTGTCTTGTCTTCAGGGTGGTACTGGGTTCCTGAAACAAAAGGCTAAGAAGGGAGGAGGGGAGGTTTGCCAAAGAGAGGGAAAAGGTTACCTTCGAAATCAAGCTTCCCTGAAGCATTAGTGCAGACATTTTGATTTTTGTTCAACTTTATGCTTTTAAGTGATTTCACCTACTCTGTATGTCCAGCTCAAGCTGATCACCACCTCTGCGAAGGCAGTTTCCCCTGACTTCCTACACAGATACTGCCCATGTGTCCCCCTGACAAATTATCATAGCAGTTGTAACATTTCTTATTGTTCTAGTTAACAATTAACTTTTGTGTTAACACCTTCAAAGGACTCTCGTGAAAGGCAGATGATCAGAGTCTTCCCAGAAGTGGGCTTGTGCTCTAGACTTTCCCACCTGAGTGAAGGTTGGGTAGAAGTCAGTGAACTGATTTCTACAGGTAAAAGATACAATATTACCCAGCTCCTGAGAATCCATACAGCTTCTCTAACTCAGGACCCTCAACCAGGGCACGACTGATACCGGACAGGATAGTTCTTTGTTGTAGGGGTTATTTATGTGCATTGCTCCTCTGGTCTCCACCCACTAGATGCCAGTAGTATTCCCCCACTGAAAATGGCCCCAGACATTACCACACATCCCCTGGAGGGCAAAATCACTCTGATTGAGAGTCGCTGATATGAATGATAGAGACAGTGGTTAAAAAGCCAGACAGTAGACTGAAAGCAGGGCAGAGGATGAGCTATTGACCCTTCCACATTTTAATACGGAAACCATCCTTAAGTAAGGCCATGTGGGCTCATCCAGCCCTGAGTTTCTAGCCCAGCTCGGCTGCTTAATAGCTGTGTGATTCTGGGATGTGTTGTTTGCCTCTATGCGTCCTGATTTCTCATCTGGGTTATTGACAGGATGGACCAACTGAGAAAATATCTGAAGTGCCTGACTAAGGCCCTGCACATAGTGGGTTCTCAATAAAAGTCATTTCCTTTCATCTTGCCCATTACATTGGGCATGGATACAAGAGGAATCCCAGAGAACTTGATGCTCTGTCCCTGGCAACATTCACCTGCGATGAATAAGCAACTCAAGGCGAGAGTTCTCTATTTGCACGGCAGAGAAGGGGGTAGGTTGAGGATGGTAGTGGTGATGCTTGGTTGGGCAGGTAGGGATGCCAGGCATTAGAAACAGAAGCAAAAGCTGTTTGGGGAGCCTTGAGAAATGACAATCTGAGTCACAGGGAATTAGAAGCAGCAACATGGAGAGGCACTTAAATTTAATTTACAGGGAGAAAAGCAAGGCACAGATGAACATTGCTCCCATGACATGCACTCGTGACCCTCTGACAAGTCCAATCTGAGGTTGTGTGTGTAACCTGTGGTCCCACATATAGCTTCTTTTGTTCCATTTGCACTTGAGTGGGAGCATGCCATATGGTGCCACTTGCGAAAGGAGTTTTGGGGGCAGGTGCTAATCCAAGGTACTGCCCCCATCACACCCACACACTACATACACACGCATGTGCATGCATGCACACACACAGTCTCCCTCCCCTGGGCAGAATTGCTATATTAGGTGGGACCTGTGAGCCCAAGGCACAACAATAAAACAGTAATCATTGGAAAATGAATGCATGAAACAATGCAGACACACTGCTCTACTTACCTAATTACTCTGCTCTTGAGATATTTTTGTTTAAAGCCACTGAGATAAGAGTACCATTGCCATAGCAACCTCCTTTTGGATGGTGTTCGGCATCTCCAAGCAGATTAAATCGCCCACAGTTCCCATCAGCAGTGCTCTAGTGGCATCATTTCTAATAGCCTGGTGCATTTTCCCACTTGATTTTTATAAAGTAGAATGGAAACTGGATACCCACTGGCAAAAAGGCCCAGCCATTTCTATGTGGGTCTCTAACGAGACTTCAAAGAGACCTCACTTCAGAGAACAGCTGTGAGCTATCAAGGGAAGCACGGGGATTGGAGTCAGAAGATCTGGACTCCAACCTGACTGGTAATTACTTATTAGCAATTACTTAACTAATTATTAATCTTCAATAATTCCCTAACTTGGGCTCTCTGGACTGTATTTTTTTCCTCATCTGCAAAAAGACTTAAAATTGTTTTTCTTCCCCTCATGCCACCCCCAGACCAGAGCTTGCTCTGAAGGCTACAAAAGAAGGTGCATATGACAGCACATGCTGGGTCAGGAGGAAGGACATGGATTTTCTGGGATTTGAGCCAGTTTTCAGAACCTCCAAGACATGACCCATGCATGTTTCCTGATTTCTTGCAGATCTCTAAATATCTCTCACATTGTGTTGGTGTAAGCTTTATAAAAACCATTCCTTCCTTTCCTGATTTTTAACCAGAGAGACTTCTGATCTAGAGAGTAAAATTTCATAGAGAATGAGAATAATCCCCAGGGTGCTTTCTTGGATGGATAATCAAATAGAAATGAACTTCCTTTTCAAAGACTTCCAACAGCAAACTCATCTCCATTTTCTCCAAGGGGGGAGAAATAAGACACATTTCCTTGATTGAAATGTGGAATCAGGGGTGCCTGGGTGGCTCAGTCGGCTAAGTGTCTGCCTTCAGCTCAGGTCATGATCTCAGGGTCCTGGGATCAAGCCCCGAGTCAGGCTCCTTGCTCAGCGGGGAGTCTGCTTCTCCCTCTCCCTCTGCCCCTCCTCCCCGCTTGTGTTTTTTCTCTCAAACAAATAAGTAAATAAAATCTTTAAAAAATGTGAAATCACCTTGGAAACTGAGAAAACGTTGTGAATATGTACGAGGACACTGTGCAGGCAGGTTTTGTCTCCATAGGTTTAAAGGGGCCAGAATATAGTGGCTGCCCAATAAACGCCCATTCTGTAAATGGATGGCAGTGGCTGGGGGCAGAGGTAGTGAGACAGGTGTCAGTTATCCAAGAGGAATGCAGTGCCCGAACACAAGCAGAGCCTGCTAAAAAGAGAGAACAAGAGAAAACTCCTCCCCTGTCAGCACGTTTTCCTTCCTTCCCACCTTTTAACCAGCATGACAGATCAGAAAGACAAGGAGCAAAAATAATAAACATAAAACTGAAATGAATAACCTCCACCTCTAGTTTTGGGTAAGATACTAATTTGGCAGCTGAAATCATGATAGGATTTAAAATCAAAACTCACCATAGCACCACCGTTCGAGATGCAACATTTGAGGTTATCAGAGCACACCCTGAATGGGCCGTACCCCCTCCCCTGCCCCCATATCATTATTTGTGTGTGTCTATTTTTAAAGCTAGGACCCTTCTTCTTTGTCTTTTCATCAGCCACAACACTTAGCCCTGTACTTTTGACTTAGAGTTAGGCCAAAAATGTAGCTAATAACAATCATGGCCTCATTTTCCAATTACCTGAAATGTAAAATGAAAAACATCTTCGCTTCAAGACTTATTACCAAAAATCTTTCTAAAGTGCATTAGTCCACTCTCTGCCTTAAGGGGGAAAAGTGTGATGAGCATAATTGGATCTCTGGTGACTCAGTGGCTCATAGGAGCATGAACATTAATTCCCATTTATCAGTGGGGTTCTCAGGAGATGGGGGTTAAGGCCTAGAGACCGAGGTTGGGCCAACTGTGTGCCCCTTTCAGATCCCAGTCTGGAAGCTTTGAAAAATAGAATTTTAATGTAAATATTCCTCCCACCCCCCACCCATAACTTGACTTTTCTTCCTAAAAATTGAATACTGTTTCAACAGTACAACAGAAAATTAAGGTGTGTAGAGTTCATCAAATCTAAGTTTTATTTGCCCCCTTTCCCCTCTAATTCAACAAGTACGGTCATTTCTCTTGTATCCAATTAATGCAAGCCTCACACCTCACACTGTCAAACCTATTGAGAGCTTGTAGGACAGGTCCACATAGTAGACCCTGAGACATAGTGTCAGTTTTCTCTGTTCATCCTATACTTACGCAGCTTCCAATCATTGTCCTAGAACACAGGTCTCTGTGCTGCTCACTCTATTTTCCTGGGACAAGGGCAACACTTTTTAACAGGTGAGTCAGCCCTCCTTCCCCTCCCCCAAATCCAACCCTTTGAAAAGAGTCGTGGCCACTGTTGTGCTCAGGCTTCCGGGAGACAAAACCAGATGCCAAGTACTTCTTGTAAATGGGATAGAGGAAGGGTCTGAAGCTGCTGAAGATGACAGACAATAGGACAGAAGAGGAAGGGGGAATTTATAAGTGCAGCACTGGCTATGAATTGGCAATGTGTAAGATTGGAATCAATTTTCGATTATTTTTATTTTTTATTTTTTTTAGTGAGAGAGAAAGGGAGCTCAAGCATGGGGAGGGGCAGAGGGAGAGAGAATCTTAAGCAGGGTCCACACCCAGGACAGAACCTGACATAGGGCTTGATCTCACGACCCTGAGATCATGACCTGAGCCAAAATCAAAAGTTGGATGCTTAGCTGAATGAAGCACTCAGCTGCCCCCAATTTTCAATAATTTTTGCTTGATGTTCTGCAGATGTTTGTATGTGGCACCACGAGGGATCCTGGGATTAGCTCAAGTTGTCTTCTATTTCTTGAAATCCTAGTCATAATTTCAAGGCTTACTGGATGACACATCTTCTATAAAACCCTTCCTGTTTTTTTTTCTAAGTTGGTACGATCCCAATCTCTCTCTTCTCCTCTGAAACTCCTTGGCATTTTGTAACTCTTTAGTGACACTCATCTGACATGATTTTGTATTCTGTTAACTTCACTTTTAATTTCTTCCTGTTAGAAGACTGTAATGTGCCTGAGAACAGATTGCAATTTTCTCATCTGTATAGTCTGTGCTATGAAACCATCGAATTGAATGTGGTTAAAATGAACAAAGGTAAATCCCAATGTTATGAATGTCCTGTGGAGTCTCCCAAGCCAGTCTCGCCTTCCATTTTCAGTAAATACCTCCATCCATCCAACTGCCCAAGTTTCTCCTCTCATCTCCTAAATCCAATAGATCAAAAATTTTAATTCATTTGACCTCCAAAATATTCCTTTGATGCAATTACTTCCCCCATCTTCTCCTTCTCACTCTTGCCCGGGGTCAGTCAACTTTTTCTGTAAAGAGCCAGGCAGTAAGTATTTTAGGCTTCCAGAAGCATACACAGGCTCTATTGCATGTTCCTCTTCCTTTTGGTTGTTGTTTTTACAACCCTTTAAAAAATGAAAAAAACAGGGGCGCCTGGGTGGCTCAGTCAGTTAAGCGTCTGCCTTCGGCTCAGGTCATGATCCTGGAGTCCCGAGATCGAGTCCTGCATTGGGCTCCCTGCTCAGCGGGGAGTCTGCTTCTCCCTCTGCCCCTCACCCTGCTCCTCTTCTCTCTCTCTCTCTCAAATAAATGAATAAAATCTTTTAAAAAATGAAAAAAAATTCTCTGTTCTTGGGTCCTGCAGAAACCAGCTGTTGGCTGTGGCTCATAGACCCCCTGCCCTCGCCAGAGCCACCCTAACTCCTCACTTCTAGTGTACTCTGCCATTCATGCTCCAGAATAATGTTTTAAAGGATGCACATCTGACTCTTTCCCCCTCCCTGCTTAAAGTCTTACAATGGCGTCTTTGCTTTTCTCGGGGAATATTGAAATCCCTTGGCATGGCCAACCAGACTGTCCTTAGCTGGCTTCTTCCTCCATCTCTCACCACATTACTTGCTCCCTTCCTTGACTCTGACATTCTCACTCTTGCTTCCAGCCTTGGAAGGTGATATTTCTTCTACTTGGAACATCCTTCCCCTCCTATCCCTTTGCCTGTTTACCTTGACTATTCTTTCAAACCTCAACAAAACTGTCATATCATTAGTTAGGTTCTCTTTATTATATGTCCCACTGAGTCCTTGTCTTACCTGGAATCCCCCAGGAGCAGATGCTGGATGAGGATTCATGTGCAAGTGCTCACAGGAAGAACTATGAAGACGTTGGGAGTCAGGGGGAGGCCCAGTGTGTTTGTCCCGATCCTCTGAGGAGCAGATACCAAGATGGGATTAAGCATTTGAGAGTTTTATTAGGGAAATGCCTATAAGAGGAAATGGGTAAGGGGAGTCAGGATGGGATGGGAGGGTCATAGGGCTGGGAGGCAGGTCTGACCCTAAGTGAGGAAGAAAAGGAAGGGGAGTTGGAGGGAGACAGCCCTAGACTCAGTGTAAGGAAAATTCGCTGAGACTGTCAAATAGACCTTGAGCCAAAGTCACCTGTCTGAGGAGTCCTGTGTCTCCCACTCTTGAGTTCCTTCATACTCATTGGCTAGGAGCAGCGTCGGGGGGGGGGGGCTCAGTACAAACCCAATAATGAATTTCAGAGGCAGTCGCTGGGGCCATCTGTCAATTATGCTCCTTGTAGTTGGATGTCTGTGGGGGGCATTCCACTGGCCGGAACACCTAGCAAAGGTACAACTGCATCAAAGGCCCAGCCTCAGGGGAACTCTGTAGTATGAATTATGGCTCTGGCTTTGTTTCCCTGGAAAAGCAAGTGAGCATGGCTTTCACAGTCTACTGCCAATCACTGGGAGAAGGCACTTAAACTCCTAGGCAACTCCCCCTTTTTGAGCTTGCTGCCGAAGTTGCTCCAGTATCTTGAAGATGGTCCTCCAAAGGGAGAGTCAGGTGTGGGCGAATAGAAGTGAAGGCATCAGAAGCTGGGGGGAGAAGCTCACAGAAACAGTAAAAGGGATTCAGGAGAATCTTGTCAGACCACCAAGAGGGTCTGCTACAACCCTGTTCTTTTCTTTTTTTCCTCAGTACCCTCATAATGATGTGATACTTCATGTCTGCATTTTGTACTGGATTATAATTTCTGTGAGATCAGCAATTATATCTGCCTCATTCCCCGGGTCCAGCATAGCGCCCAGAACATAGTAGAAGCTAATTAACTATTTGCCGAATTCTCCATAAAAATGACCAGAAATCTGCTCTGCTTATATGAACCAAATCCAAATGATTTTGCCATTAATAGGAAGATGAGTACATTTAAAGAGACATATATGAGCAAAGTCACCCTCGGCCTGATCTATGTGCCCATAATCCTTGTGCAATCCAGGCTCCGTAGGCCTTTCTGTTCCCGAGCGCTGGTAATGGTATTTAGAGCCTGGGTAATGCAGCTGAAGATTTATTCCATTTACTGCATTCTCACTGCTTCCAGCAGCCTCTTAAGGCAATCAACAATAATGGAAGCTGTCACTTCCTGTATTTCCATCTGTGGCCACAGTTGTGGATTCTCCACTTGTTATACCCTAAAGGAACTGACCTAAAGAAATCACTGATCCCATTTGTTTTCTCCCCTTTGAGTATTCCCGGCTGGTGGGTCGTTTCGAGTGGCTAGAGCAGAGCTGCTCCTATAGGAGCCGCTTTATTCCCTCTGGTAGTTTCTTTCTGATGGCGTGAAAGAGAAACTGGACTTACATGTCAAATGACTTCCTTTCAACTGCCTCTTCTGTCACCCGCTCGTTGTGTGATTTTGGATGAGTCATTTAACTTCCTCGTGGTAGACCTTGTCAGAAATATCTGCTGCCCCTTCTAGGGGACAGATTATGCTTGTCTGCCCCTTGGACATCAAGCTTGGTTATGTGATTGGCTTTGACCAATGACATATAAACAGAACTAATGTATATCACTCTTAAGAAAAAGCTTTCATTGAATACCGGCAATATTCCAGACAGAGCTCTTGTCTCAGAGTTCAGACAACAGCAACACAGCCTAAAAGGACACATGGAATGAACAAGAAAGAAGTCTTTGTTCTCTTAAGTGCATTTGGATTTGGGAGGTTGTATATTACTGTAGTAGAATCTAATTTATCCTGACTGACACACAGCCTATTTCTTAGTTTACTCATTGGTAAAATGGATGGTATAATAATTCTTACTCTGCAGGATCACAGGTTTATTCATTCAGCAACTCTTTAGCTTAAGCTTGTTAAATGCAAGATGAATACCGGATACCAGTAGGTTCTGCAAGGATGGAATATGGTCAGCCTCTTATCATCAATCAGTTTCTAAGACAATAAAAGAAAGAACACTAGTGTGTGTGTGTGTGTGTGTGTAATTAGCATTTATGATAGAAATTGCTCAATGTCATGATAGGTAGTGATAAAAGTACTTTGGCAAATTGAAGGAAGGAGGTCTTTTTTCACTGTGGGCTCAATTAACTCTTCTGAAGGGATATCAGGTTTGGAGATTGGGTAGCTAAAAGCAAGAAGGCTTTTCCTAGATAAAAATGACTTGGGTATAAGAAAGCATGGACCACTGAGAGAGAAAAGCCAATACTTCAGAGTGTTTGGGAAAGGACTGGAAATTAAGGTTGAAAAGGTACTTGGAAGTCAAGTGTTGGGTAGTCTGGGTGAAGAAATTGGAACTTTCTTTTGTAGAAAGTTAGTGGGATAAACTTGTTCAGGCAGGATCTGACAGCAGTGTGCTAGATGGATGAATCAGAGAAAGAAGAGTTCATATGGAAGCCCATTTAGTAGACTATTGTTATATTATGGACCAGCAGCCCACACGGTGTTTTGTTTTGTTTTGTTCTGTTTTCTATGAAAGGCCAGAGAGTAAATATTTTAGCCTTTGTGAGCCCGATAGTCTGTACTGCAATTGCCCAACACTGCCACCAGAGCATGAAAGCAGACATAGACAAAAACAAACAAACAAACAAACAAACAAACAAACGGATGGGCAAGGCTATGTTCCAATAAAACTTCAGGGATTTCAGAAGATGATCTGAGGGGGCGGAAAGCTCTTCTGTCCTTCCAGCTGCTTCGTGTAACTGCTCTATTACTGATGTTCTGCCTAAAGAGTTCATTTGAAGCAGGAGCACTCTGATAAAAGCAATAAAGGTGGGGCACGTGGGTGGCTCAGTAGGTTAAGCATCTGCCTTCAGCTCAGGTTGTGATCTTAGGGTCCTGGGATCGAGCCCCACATTGGGCTCCCTGCTCAGCAGAGAGTCCACTTCTCCCTCTCTCTGTGACCCTCCTCCCCGTTTGTTCTCTCTCTGTCTCAAAAATAAAACAAAACAAAACAAACAACGAAGATATCTGTTCGAGCGTACATGCAAGGATGCAAGGTGGGGGTGGGGGGGGCGTCTGAACTAGGCCAATAAGGGCTGGAGAGGAAGAGCAGAGCAAAAACATCACAGGAACGGATTGACGGGAATAAAGAACACTGGAGGCAGAGTGGCTTTCAGAGGGCAAAATGATTTCAATTTTGGACATATTGAGTTTGATGTGAAAGGCAAATGAGATATTGTAGAAAAAGTGCTTTGCAAACTGTGAAGTGTTAGAGAAATGGGTTATTTTAAGAGGAAATGGCTGAGGCCATTTTATGACTCAACAAAAACCCATCAACGCTCCTCCAAAACAATCAAGGCACCTGAACTCTATATTGTGGGACAGCCCTTCCATATTTCTGGGTCAACACCTTGGCATGATGATACTATTTCAATCAGTTATTTCCTGTGAGACAAGGGGCAGCTGTTCCCATAGATTGACATGAGTAAGGATGTTTACGTGTTCACATAGTGAACAAGTAAAGCCCCAGTCAGAAATCCTACAAGATTGCAGAGCTGCTTCCCTGATGACCTTCAACTGGGGTGATACTGAGCTCAGAAACAAGGGATGGAACTTGATAGGGGTTCCTCGAGTGGGTTCTCATTTTAGGATTTTGGTGCAGTGACCTTTCTAGAAACAGATACAATGAGTTTTTACACCTTAATTGTCAAGTCAAATGATTTATTATAAATATAAAAAAGATTATAAATTAAAAAAAAACTTTTAAAATAAGGCATATTCTTAGAGGAATTTATCCTGGTGGGAACTACCACATGAATTTATAAGACTTCCAGAATTGTTCCTTCTTTCTTACCTTGCCTTCACACTTAGACCTGTGTGATTGAAGAGTGAAGATTGAAGTCATTACATTCAGTAAATCAGGCAGAGAAAGGCAAATACCATATGATTTCACTTATATGTGGAATCTGAAAAACAAAACCAATGAGCAAACAAACAAAAAAACAGAAACAGACTCATAAACACAGATAACGGACAGGTGGTTGCCAGAGAGGAGGGGTGGGTGGAGAATGGGCAAAATAGACAAAGGGGATCAAGAGGTACAAACTTCCTGTTTGTTATGAAATAAATTATGAAATAAGTAAGCCGTGGAGATGTAAATTACATCGTGGAGAATATAGTCAATACCATGGTAATAACATTGTCTGGTGACAGATGGGGACTACACTTATCATAGTGAGCATTTCGCAATGTATGTAATTGTCAAATCACTATGTTATTACACACCTGCAACTAATATAATATTATATGTCAGCTGTACCTTAATTAAAAAATTTTAAATAAATGAAGTCATTAAATTTAAAGCAGACATGGGAAGTTTAATTCACAGGAGTGATAGAGGCTGACCCCATCATCCCAGTTCTCTGGAAGAAAAGAAACAGTGCATATATGTGAATGAAGTATCATTGGAACAAGCAAGCACATGAAACAAGAAGCTTCTAGTAGCTTCCAGTAGCTCAGGCAGAGACGCACAACCAATATGAGAGGCAGTATTGCATGGGGGTTAAGAGCATGGCCTCTGGAACCAAGTGGCTTGAGCTTCAATTTTGCTCAATGATTTCCTAGCTGTGTCACCATGAAACACATTACTTAGCTTCTTTGTGCTCAGGTCCCTCATGTGTGAAATGGACAAATAATGATACCTATCCTTTGAGGTAGTGAGGTAACTCAGTTCACATCCATGACCACCTCATGCTCTTCCCTCCTGCTCTTCTAGCACCTGTGATTTTGGCTGTTTGTGAATGTCTAGCATTTTCCTGAAATTAATTGTTTAATGACTTTCTCTGCCACTGGAATGCAAGCTCTTCAGTGTTGGGGATGGAGTCTTCTCCTCCTGCCTGGTGCAGGCCACTACCATTCCTTCTCTAGACAATTTCTACAGTTTCCTATACAACCTCTTGATGTCCTGTATTCTATTTTCCACAAAACAGCCAAAGATCCAGGAAATGTGAGTCATAAAATGCACAACCACCCCCTCACATTGTAGGGGAAATAAAGTTCAAGCCTCTTATGTGGGCTCCTATCTAAAATCCTATCCTAACCTTATCTATGCTGTTCTTGCTTCTACTCATGACATCCTAGCCCCTGTGGTTTTCCATACATCAGAATTTTTCTGGCCTCAGGGCCTGTACACCTGCTTTCTTCTGCCTGGGATGCCTGAATATTTGCATAACTAGCACTTTCCCATATTTTAGGTCTTAGTTTAAATATTACCTTCTTAGAGAAGCCTTGCTTCTTCATCCAATATGAAGTAGGACTCATCACCCTATTATTTCTTAAGGCATCCTTCGGTCTGGGTCTTTTTTTTTCCTTAAAAGCGTTTATCCCAATTCACAATTATTTTATTTATTTGCCTATATACTTGATTTTTGCTGTCCACCTCCCT